ACCCCCCACTTCCCGCGCCGCAGCCGCCGCAGGGCGCGGGCTGTGAGAACTCCACTCAGACGGCGCCGCATAACCGGATGATTCATATTTCCGCGACAGACTGTGATGGAGGGTGCAGGGAGGCAATCAACACAAGAAACTCTATACAATCCCTGCGACTTGGGTAGATCATTTCCATTGCAAAAGAGGCAACTCCCGGGAGGTAAGAAGAGCGGTGCGGTGCGTGGCGTGGCGTGGCGGAGAGTGGCGTGGCGGAGAGTGGCGTGGCGGAGAGTGGCGTGGCGGAGAGTGGCGTGGCGGAGAGTGGCGTGGCGGAGAGTGGCGTGGCGTGGCGTGGCGGCAGCGCTCCTTGGCGGCGGCTACAAAGGGGGCGGGGCGGTGTCAAGCAGAGCGAAGAAAGCGGTAGCAAAACGCGGATGAGGAGATGAGGGCCGAAGCGGGATAAATTGGTGAATGGAGAAGCATAATTAGAGTATGTGGGTAGGGTAGTAGAGTAGATGCGAAGGGGGCGGAGTAGGCAGAGGTGGCGACTGCTGTGAAGAGACTCGCGAAGGCGGCGGCGGGGACGGCGGGATGAAGCGAGAGGACAGACGCCCGCTCGCAATGGGATACAGAAGTTTCCCGCGGCGTAATTGAAATGCCCTTGTTTGCGCCGAGGCTTCTGCGAAACGGCGGAGATGACACAAGCAAAGGCGATGCAGTTGCGAGGAGCGAGAAACAAGAGTGTCGCCTTGTGCGCACGGGGTGGGCGTGGCGCTATAAAGGACAAATTGTGCAGAGTCCCAGAGATGCAGAGCGCATCCGCTTTTGTTTATTTTGAAATGTCTATTAAATTAAATTTATACATTTTCATCAAATCAACTCAATCGGTATTATCTCCAATTGTTAATGTGTAAATACATGTAGTGTGTACTTAATGTTAAGTACACTGTAATTTTGATTTGCATGTCGTAATAACGCACCACTAAGATGCTCTTTGTTAATTTTACCTTATGCTGGATATCTATAGGGATGCACGAAACCTCTGTGTTGATCCATAAATACACAACTCATTTCTACATAAAAGAAAGCACATTTATTCAACAATAACATTTTTGAAAACAGCATTATTCGTGACAGCACTTTATATAGTATAATCTGACCTTGATGAAGAGAAATTGTTAATAAAATTGCATGACGCTATTAGTAATTTGTATTTTTCGAATTGTGTTAAGACTGACTATTTTCTTCAAAATTGTCTAGCTCTTGGCGTGCATTAGAACCATACAGCTATAAGATACACATTCAACGTCCTCGAAAACACTTTCATATTAACTTTTTACCTTTTAAATCCCCTGTTTGTTTTAGATCCTTCATTTTAATCGAAAACGTTTTAGTGCGACTTCGTCTTGAAATTCCTTTGGTAAATAACACGATTATTAGATCGAGAATTGCGTAAGTCTATCTGCATTTGCCTCCAAGCTCGACAACGACGCTACACATTGAGCGTTATATCTCTAAAATTAAGCACGCTTGTTAATCACCTTAAACTAATATTAAACGTAAATACATGTAAACCCTTCAAAATTTAAAGGCAACCGAGAAGAAATTCACGGTTTTAGCACAAGAATTTTAATAGTTTCTTTGTCTTCCAACACTTATTGTCTTTGTCCCATACATATTTAACCGGTGAGTCGAGCCATCTTGAGTAAGATATCCATTTTCTGTTGTAATGTGCACGTTTGCTTATTCATGATCTTTGTAAACATAACCACAAACTCTGCCTGCGCCCTTGCGTGCGCCTTGCAACGAAACTGCGATCCATTGCCAGAACAAAATCATGAATAAATGACGGTAGATCAACGAAATTATTACAATTTTGTGTTTTTAATATAAAACAGCTAAAAATAGCAAGCTTGTAACAACACATCTGGGGTCCACTACCGTTCACTTAAAGCAAAAAGGACGTAATTTGGTTTAGAAGAAGCCTCAAATTGCTTTCTAAACGAATACCATTAACGTTTTAAATAAAAAGATTTGCGTAAGTATCCGATTTATAAAGTTATTAAAATTCACTCGTAAACGTTCGCCAACACTTTCAATCCCGCGTTTGGGTACAATTTATTGGTGTAAAGAAGCATGTCATAAAATAGTTTCGTAATATAGGGGAAGCGCGGGTAATGGTGATCAAGGGGTAATGGGAGTCAACAGCAAATCATCGATAAATAGTGTACAGAAACCATATTGAATGGCACCAACATATGCTTCTACCTGCCATGAGTCAAGATAACCATTGCCAGTTGATCGCGGCAGCCAAAGAAAATTTACAACGACGATTATCGCGTTCGTACCAGTAATGTGAATGGTTGATGTTAAAAAATGCTCTCAGAAAACCAAGATCTTACTCAGGTGAATTTGGAGATTTCGGGAAGAATTAAATTTTTTTGTAAGGGAATTACCTCAACAAATCATTTGATACCAAATGAGAGTAATTTTATATAATTAACATTATATAAAAGTTTACGAGTAATTATGCTAAAAATGTGTACGTGGGATAATGGTGGTCAGTAATTCTCATTATCACAGCGTAATTGCCATTGCCCCAAACAAAATAATTTATTGACCCGAATGATTTTAAATGGCCCATGGCGCTATTTACACATATAGCAAGAATGGCTGAACGTACCATGAATTCACAAAATGGCTTAAACACTTTAAAAGCCTTACTTGACTAAGTGCCCAGTACTCAGTGCTGTTGATGTTGGACAACTGTGTGAGTCATGTTACTTTAGACTCCTACAATTATTGTAAACAAAATAAATACTGTTTAAAGTACAAATGTTTTTTTTTATTTTGCTCTACATTTCTGTAGTGACTCCCATTACCCGCATGTAAGGGTAATGGGGGTCAAAAGCAAATTTTTGGAAATTCGATATTTGAGATAGTTTTAATGATTTTTTTTAATTTTTTTGCAGTGAAAACATAAGTTTAATAACTAATCTGCGATATAAAAGCACATTCTTGTTTATAGGAACGATTCGTCCTGATTTATATTAAAAAAACAACAAAAAAGTGACCGTCATTACTCCCATTTCTCCTACTATTGTTCTTCTAAAAGAATTATACCGTCCTCAAGGTTCCAATAATGCCGAAAGAACTACGAGGCTCAGAAAATCACAACAATAAAGACACTTACAATCCCATCCAGACACAATGCTAAGAATGAACTTCCAAAGCTCTCGGAACGCGACTAGTTGAATGAGCACAGACTGGGTCTTTTGCAGCATCAGAGGCGAGCCACTGCCACAGCGTCGCGTTGGAAGATGTAAATTCCATTCGTTGGTTCGTGTCGCCGAATACTAATATTAGCTGCGCAACCGGATACATTCATGCGGTGTAATGGACCCATGGACGTTGCACAAACAAAATCCGTACGCGGTCGGGATTTCAAAACGGTGTCAAAGCCGGTTGTAAATCGACAAAATTGTTTCCCCGCCCAACGCCATCACTTCAAGGTTCAACTTGGCAGCGACGCTGAACACGACGCGCGTCACAGAGCGAGATCAATGCAGATACGTCGACAGCCGAGCGCTTATTATTTTTAATGAAATTATTTGGAACCCAGTGAGTCAGAAAATGTGTATTTCGGCCCGAAGTTTCCGAATGTTCCTAAGCGTCTCGTTTTCTTTTGTTTAGAGCTAACAGTGCTGAAATTTTTTATCTTTCCCAAAACACAGTATTGAAACCAGCGAGGAGAGATTTAGAGAGGAAAAAATAATTTATTGTTCATGATTATTTGAAGATTCGCGAGTTCTATCACACAACATTCCCAATCCGACACGATTTTTATGAAAGACTACAGAAGATAGTAAATAATCGAAAACCCATAAAGAAATTTTTTTGACAATTCGCTTAGTTTAATATCAAGAGCACTAAAACATGAAAGATTTAACGGAACTTGTGTGGCATAATTTTATTCAACATATCACAAAAAAATTATTGGAAGAATTCAACTTCACTATTTAAAAATTATTTAAACCGAAAACGAGGCGATCAGTGAAATTATAAAATTATTTTATAAAGTTCTTGTATACAATTTTTGGTTCATGGCTCAATATGAGAGGCAAAAAGGTAAATTAAGAATACTATCTATAAATAACTCAACAACTAGTAATTATTGAACAGTAAACCAAGAATACCGTTTAAAAAATCGAAAGCGAAAAAAGAAAAATTTAAGACAAAATAAATTGTTTTTATCCTTCGTATGATGTTTGTTTTGCATAAGCCGTGACCAGTGTCTTAAAAGTTCTACTTTATGGACTATTAACAGACCATCAAATTATATTTAGACAGCCACTAGTAAAAGCGTTTCAGAGCATGCAGAGGATGCGTTTGTGAGTGAGACGAAACTCGTATGTTCAGATAAATCTGCGATTATAATAAAGAAAACAGAACACTTTCGCCTAATCGCATTAGCTACTGCTGACCTTAATGGATCTTAAGTGATTTGTACACTTTAATTAAAATAAACAAAGCATGTAGGTAAGGCCGTCAAATAGAGTACGGCCCGTGGTAAAAAAGAAAAAAAATGCTCTGAGGATTGCACCAATCGGCCTATCGACCTGTGCCTTTTCCTACTTGCAAAACAAAATTTCTTTTTTACTACTCGTATCATAAATACTATTTTAGTGGTGAACAAACAAAAATATGCAATAGATTTCGCCGCCGACCTCTAAATTGAAATGGCTTTTTATGCACAAGTTTGACCCTATTATCAGCGGATAATTATTTAAAGAAGAAAAGTATAAAATTATATGCCAATTTGAATCACTTATTTTTGGACACGTGTGCTTACACTTAAAATTTGTACCACTGCGATTACGAAATCAATTTCACGTGTCGCGCGCGCTTCATTTTCCTTGGGGCAGTGTAAACATTATCTCCTTAAGCTAGAATAAAGTGCGGAGGTCGGATTTCTCTCGTCAGAAAGCGAGTCGGGGAAGCAAAAATTTATTAGAGGTGTTCAAGCAATAGAGAGAAACTATTCTACAGAAAAGAAAGGTACAATGAACGGTTCGAGAATTGCAATAATAATGAAAATAATAATAATAATAATAATAATAATAATAATAATAATAATGAAAATAATAATAATAAAAATAATAATAATAAATAATAATAATGAAAATAATAATAATAATGAAAATAATAATAATAAAAATAATAATAATGAAAATAATAATAATGAAAATAATAATAATGAAAATAATAATAATGAAAATAAATGTTGCCGCTCAAGCGAAGAGCAACAGGGAGCGGGGTGCCGATCAATATCCACCAACGAGAAGAAAAGTTCCAAGAGATAAAATGGGCGCATCGGCGAGTAACTGTGATTGAGGTGGCGTGTTCTCTGCGCGTCAGACACGGGATTGCCACTCAAAATCGGTCACAAAAAAAATGCGAAAAGTGGAGTATTAACGGCGAAAAAGGTGCTCAGTGAAACTGGGCTGTCCATTACTCCCAAAAAATATACATGGTTAAAAGCGTCTGACGCTTAATCGAGATGCCACTTCTTAATCTGAGGGACACCTTCTGGCAAATTTGATTATTAAAAACGATACGCATCTCGCTGTGCGCGCATTTTGCTTGTCTGACCTCATATCTATGGGTTCCAGACATTCGTTTTGAACTTCCAAAACAATAAAATAAACCGTTCATTTCCTATAAATATTGGTTGTAGGTATTTTAAACACGCTGATACACATTCTTTTAAACGAGTTGAAAGTCATTTCACATAATCTAGAAAGGTCAAAGGATTCATTCTTTTCAAAATTAGATTCAAATAAACAACATAAAAAAACGTATTTCAACAGTTGCACGCCTAACTAAATACAATTTTTCTGGGAAAAAGTATGCATGATTCTGTTCATTAGTGTAGAAATGGATAGCAATTGAATAGAAAAATGATGTATCCATTTAATAAGTACTTTTATGTTAATAAAGGAGAAAAAGAACAGTGTTAGTTATCCTGGTAAATGTGAAGGACGGCTGTAGAATGGGAGACAAAACTGCTGTGAAGCGAGACACTTACCTCTCATTATTAGTACGCTGCATAAATTCTCATCTCTCTGGCAATCTACCTTATCAAACAACTCCATTTTCGAATCGTCGGCGCAGTCTGCAAACGATTTCGACAGGCAGTCATAGCACCTTAAGTTTGCCTCCACTGAAACAAAGAGGAAAGCAGTTTTTGAACAACTAATTTTATTGGATGGAATCAATATCACCCGAAGTGTCAGTGTCTAAATTAGTAATACGAATTACATAATACGAAGTATGAACAATCTTCACAAAAACATGCAAACCCATGCGTAATTTTGAAGTAATTATATTTTTATTAATCGTGATTATTTAATTGTTCCCGAATGCTCGCACGACTGCTAAAATCTTCAAGAATTACTGAATTTAATTCAATGCGCTTCTCAGGATGGGTAGAACGTTTTTCACAAAATATTATTGTGTTTAGTTCATTGTATTGCAATATACTAATATTGAGAACCCATGGTCCAGAAATAATTTGAATTTAACTAGTGTACGTTTATTCTTTCTACTTTTTATAGCCTTCTAACTCGCTCTTTGTACTTAATATTAGTTTACAATGCGGTCCACATTCCTTAGGCTTACGCGGAGACAAAACTCTCCCATTTTGCAAGCGCTTAAATTTTGATTGCGACTTATAATCTCGTCATGACCATCGGCAGCTGATGGGCAACTTACTTCCGGTCATTCACCGCAACCGCGATAAGCCTTCGGTTTCCATGGACCAGCAGAGCCTAATTACGACACATGCATAGAGTGCCCATCGTGTGACTTCTGTTGACCTTCTCTAAGTCTCGTAAAATCGCTTCAGACCTCTCCCCCCCCCTTATTAACTCAGCCCAGAGTGGGGAGTGGTTTTCCTACGCTGTGAGAGAAGTACCGCCCTCAAAGACACTGTACGCGGAACTCCCCAGCGGACTACTTTCTTCCACTTTCAACATCTATCACCAAAATGCCGACAAGTCGCCCAAAAGTATTATCCCTGCGTAATTCACTTTTCTCCGCCTAAAATGTATCTCTCTGTGGTACTCGCGTAAGACTCGAGAATATATACCACAATAAATATTGTTAAAAGTAAAAACAATATCAATATTGTTTTATCTTTGGACACGCCTTAACTGGACCTATCTTTGGAAAAAGACTTAACAGAGAGGCGCAAATATCTAATAATTGGCACCTCTGCATCACGCGTACTGCAGAATAGCTCCACAATTGGCACAATTTCAAAGAAAGTCACCCTTTCTACGATAATACTTTCCTTGTGTAACCCGCATCACCGCGCCACACATCATTTATTCGTTCCTCTCAGATACAGCTCTATTGCCATGCGTTCCCCCCCATTTTTTGGTGATTTGGATTTCCTATGTTTCCCTACTTATCCGGAAGTCAGTGATTCTGACCACATATGAACAAAACAATAACCAGTAAGCGCGAAAGCGCAAAAAAAGCGCAATTAATTCGAAAAGAGTGTTTCGAACAATTTCACGAAGAGCTGTCTCTCAGGATTTATCATCAGAATACTTAATGAGAAGTTAAATTACATATTTTTAAATTTAAAACTGGTGCTTATAAAATGAAATGTCCAAAACTTTGTTAGTGTCGATAGTTTTGCTTGCCTTATTGCATTCCATTTCCAGCCGGAATCAACATTTTGAAGTAACTTCTTTTTTGAATTGCATTATCAAGTTCTAAACGTACAGTACGTTCTCCGTACTTTCCTGTCCTGTACATTTAAACCAAACTATGTACAAGCAATTTGAACATTTGGGGGCAACCACGTTTAACCCCGCGGTATGAAGACGGGAGAGAGCGTATCGCACCTGCAATTACCATTGGGCCTTGCATGCCGCGAGGACGAGTGCGGCTCTCCCACAAACAACACGCACGCCCCTGCCGCCACCGGCAAACTGCGCGCCGGGGAGACCCGCGAACAAATGCGGCGTGACAGGCGGCAGTGGGCACCTGTTGCCGTGCCCCGCGCCACGCCGCGCCGCGCCGCCTCCCAACGGCCGCCGGTCACATGACCGGTCCTCTCCTCCACCATCACGTGATGGCGCAAGGGCCTCCGGACACGACAACTTACTTTGAACCCGGTGCGATGCTGAGCCGCAAACCTGCGGGCTTTGGTCGAAGTCTTCAAAAAGGCCGGATAATCAGAATTAAGTTGCATGTACTTTTTCCCCCCCCTCTAAAAAAGCTGTCCGTCCTGTATTAACGCTTTTCTCTTTCGGTGTATTACATTAATAAAATCACATCAATAATGTGAAGCTAAGTAAGTGTCAATTTCGATGTATTTACACGAATCCCGCGTAGGAATATTTCGCGTCTACTAAGGGGATTCATTTACTGTTCAGCGAAGGAAAAATTACTGGAATATGAACTACCACATCCTCAATGGACTTTAGACACAACCTGTCAATAGTTTTCAGTAATCTAACGTTTCTAAAGGTAGAAAAAAGTGAATCCTGGGAGAGAATGTTGTATCAAAGCTGTTCTTGAAAGCAATATTAACCTAGAAAGCACACATGAATGCTACAGTGATAAAATTGATACGCGAGGGAATCTTATCCCATATGATAAAATTGAATAATAATAATAATAATAATAATAATAATAATAATAATAGACGGTTTTTGAATGTTCATTTCAGTAAACAGTAATTTAATTACACTTATAGGTTAATATTGCATGAATTACACTTGTCTAGTTCATCACTTATGTTCTTGGAAGACACGTTTGTTCCATACGAAGCATGCATTTTTGCAAGTATTTTTGTCCTCTGACATTGAGCATACTCCACTTCAATCAATCAATTAATTAATTAATATTTTTTTCCCTTTATGCTTGTTTTCCACTTTTATCAGAATGCATAGTGGAGAGAAACAAGGCAGTCTTCATGGTTGAGAATAAAATAACAGATTCGGGGGGAGGGAGGGGACGCGTACATCGTACATCGTACCTGCATATTACATATATACACATACATACATTTACAGGGGGGATTACATTGCCCCAAATCAACTAACAGTTTACTCAAAAGAGCAAAACGAATAACAACACACGCAGCAGACAAATACGAACCTCCAACGAAAATACATAAAATTCCAGGCTTGCCACTTTTCATTGGCGAAAACTGCAAACGAAAAAGACAAAAATTGGGTAACGTATTATCGTGTATCCTTTCCCGGGTTAGGAAACAAGGGCGGCAGAACTACAATGAACATTTTAGTGTTATATTAGACATCAACTTTGCATGAATCACGAGTCTGCTCAACATGATAGACACTGTTTCACTTCACCGCAAAAACCGGCGTTCAGTAGATGACAAATGTCGAAGTTAGGTAGCACATATCAGAACAGATAGAGTTAAAACAAGGCAAGTGGAAAAGTCAACCACTGTTTTCTTCGTACCACGTACTAAATTCGTATAGAAATTTTATGTTTACTTACATACGAAAAACTAAAACCATGCTCTAGCTCTGAGGTCCAAGGTTTTGAAAAACACGCAAACTTGCCATTACAGGCAACTCTTACCCAAATCGATTTTCTTCAGTAGTTCGTTAACCCCCAGAGATTTGGAGTGTTTGAGCGAGTTTCGTATAAAATACATATTGATATTCCAAACTAAGCTTGGATACAGAACAGCCAGGATCAGAAAACTATTCTATATTGGTAGGGATGACATCCAGAGACCCAAACTTTTTGACTTTTTTAACACTTACAAATAAATAACTCTCTAACAACAGCAGAAGTGATCGGCATATGCGCATACAAAATTTAAATAATGCGATTATCACATCAACCAGCACAGAGAATGGTATTTGGTCTTGTTCGCATATGAAATTCCAGAAAATGAGAGGATTTACACTTTGTAAACATTATAAGTTAAGTATCAAGGTAATATTAATTTTAGTGTTTTTCCTATACAGTTGCTATACGTTTCCATAACGCGGGTTGGGAGGATTTTTAATAATGGATGCAGCATACATACGTAATGTAAGAGTAATTTCAAGTGAAAGAAACCTGTTTGCTCCTCATAATATAATAGCCTTAACCGTTTTGGTCTGAGAAGCTTAGATTCTTGTAGACATATTTCTTGCAATTTTTCAATTTCTTGCAGTCTGAATGCCGTCGAACTTCGTTAAGACTGAACATTGTTGTAGACTGAGAAAATAATTTCCGCCACTTCAGAACAGCGAGTGCATTGCAGTTCTGACGGCCGGATGGCGAGGTCGGGCGATGGCAGGCGGCGCGCTGTACAAAGTAATATGGACCCCAATTGCATCAAGTCACAAATTCAAAATTTTCGTTTGTATCCGACAAAAGCTAGATTTTACTTCGTCAATACTTAAAAACATACAATATTCAGCACTTTGACCCAGTTGATTTAACTGTGTAATAATACACAAAACTTATCCTTTCTTCACTATGAAAAAGAAATTAGGCAGCTCCAGATCACATTTGATATCTTTCCTCTTTTCACTTCGTAATACCCGTATTCTCCCCTCGTCTGTCCCCAAATCCTAGCAATCGTCCAACTTCCGTGTTGCTTTAGCTGTCTCTTTCACACACTCAGGAGTACTTATTATCCTTTTCGTGAAATATCAAAATACAAATTACATCAGAAATGTCACACCAGTAACGTAACATGCAGCGCAGTACATTATTGTAGGTAATGGTTTTTTGCAACGATTTCTTTCGTCATGCATTTGAGTGGCGCCAAAATCCTATCTTAAACAGCGTGGGGCGAGGTAGTCGAAGAAGGTTTGTTTACCACTGAAGTTAGAAGGAACGAATCTTAGATCTGCACTACTTTAACCATCCGCTACGCACGCCCGTCAGCGTAACACAAATACACGCGCGTGGTCTGAGATTCCAAGTGAGTCTCAGTTTCTACGTATCCGTCAAGAAGGCGCGAGGAATTCCATCAGATATCTTTACTCGTGAAGCACTACTATCTTAAATGTGACATCAGTGTAACGCACGGAATTGAAAAATAGGTCCTGACAACGCTTGTTTTATGAAATCATTGATTTTTTTTAGACACGTCAACTGCTGTAGTCGTCTCGTTTTCACAAACATGGAAGTGAATGTTTTATCCTGAGAGGAGGCGGTGATTTCTTTCCCACCGAATGGCGAAATCCGGCGCCGACCAACCACCGGCTTGCGGGATTTTCCCCAACTAAGTATCTTCCACCAGCGGGCCACCGTCTTATCAGGGAAGAACTCTACGTTCCTGGCTAGTCTCTCGACTTGTGGGATAGTGTAGTGCATTTAAGTGTAAGGGGAAAGGATAGGGCGATGAAGAGGAAGGAAAGATGTCACGCGGTCTTTGGCTCGTTCCTGAGGGTACTACGAGTACTTCGGTATTCGCCAAGTATTGGTAGGAAGAAACCGAGGAAAAGTAATGAAATTCATTGTTTCAGATATGTTATCAGTAAATGGAGGAAAGATGCGAAGACCTTTCAGTTAATGCGATGTACGATAGACACTTAAAAAACCAAGAGTTCGAGAGTTAGAAATTCGTCTCTGGTTCAGAACTACGATGAGAGTGTTTCCATAGGAGTGTAAGTGAATCTCTAATGCCAATAGCATTTACCATTGTTTTAATTGGATCACAAGAACCTTGCAGAACTCGTGTAGCTGGAATATGCGGGGACCATCAAATTTAACACGGAGACGACAAACGTTCATATAAACTGATAATGAAATGATGAAAAAGAGAAGTAAAAAAAAATTCTAAAAACCGTAATCATTAAACCCTTCGCCTGCCAAGATTTTTTGCTTCGGAATACCATGGGGATAACGAAGTTATAAAACAGAAAATTCAGAAACGTATTAATATTTTTTTTCACACAAATGCCGGGATATTTTTTGCCGACTGATTACACATTTCTTTGAGGTACTGAAATATTGTGGCGTAACAGCGTAGACAACAATATAATTTCGAAGGCGTAGGCACAACAATCCTCGTAAACTCTCTGCTACCTCGTAAACTCTGACTAAACATATAACCACAAATCACATCACGAAAACATGGTAAGATGTTTAAGAGTGTATAACTGCAATCCATAATAAAGCTACATGCCAAAAATGTATTTTTCTGATAAGATTTTTTAGGTTATTATGAAGAAACTATTCAGGATATCAAAATTGTAAAAGAATTAGAAAATAATAAAAAAATATAAAATGCGCGTATAAAATGCGCTTGGTTATCCCCGATGGTAGCCTAAGAGGTGTGAGGAAGCGGCGATATGGCCATTTGCATCAGGAATAGAAGTACACTCCAATTAGTGAAGAAAGCAGACATGTTCATGGAAGGAGGCGATATGTTAATATCTGCCACACACAGGCATTTCAGAAAATTGAGAAGAGTGATGATCTGGACGCGAGGCAATTCAAATAGTTATATCTTACAGTAACTAATGTATTTCAGCAAGAAAGATTCATCCGTCAGATTTTTTGAAAATAATTACGACCTTTCATTAGAATTTTCTAGCTAGTATATAAGTGTCTTTTAGATCATTTGTAGGTCAACATAATTCGATTCAAATCCCATCTACAGCACCTACGAATGGATTTTACATATGCTACATCAATCTCATTATTTGTCGCTGCCATATCTTCATTAGGAAAAAAGGTTTGACAGAAGGATGAAAATTAATTTGATTTTAATTTTTTCCCAATAAAAGTTCTTTACACATTCACCCAAAATTTATTAGAAAATATCTCCATAAGATTGAGAACTGAGCTCTAACCCCGAATACTGAGAAGATTGCAGAGGCAGAGGGAAAACAGAAGAAGGGAATTCCTAATGAAACGATATTTTATTTTTATGAATGTGTTGGAAATTGTTCGAAGTTAAAAAGTTTCACCACGTTCTGAAACGCAATATAATTATGCGTTTTCCAACACCGTTTCCTCTATGAAGATAATTCAGAACGTTCAGAAACTTAACGACCCCTTGGACTCCAGACATTTTCCTCGTGTTGATGAACACAGTAATGGGCACAGGAAGGTACATGGCAAGATTTCTCGGTCCCAGGGGTCTACGGACGTATTCGTGAGAGTCAATGTCGACCTTGCTCTACCAGACAATAGTCAAGGTCGCATTATGCGTCTATTTCTCATCCCATTAACGCAGTTATTTCTCCAGCCCATACAGTCGATATTTCATTCACACAACTGGACTACTGTTTTTTTTTGTCCCAGGAGAATAGATAATAGTCCACAATACACCCGAAAAGTTGCGCTGATGGTTTGAAATTCGCATAACCAAGACTCTGCATTAACGAGCTAAGAGTCATCGAGAAGCAGGGAAGGGCGTTGCAACAGACGGCCACATCCGGGATAGTACACTTAATAACGTTAATGGTAGGGGCAAGCAATACGCTTCAACATCTTAATTAAGCATGCAGTTAGGACGATAGACAATTGAGCGTAAAGAAGAAAATTATAAATTCAATAGAACTGAACGTAAACTTAAATTATCAGAGATTGAAAGAAAGGTGAACGAACTCTTTTTTCATACAATTTGTCACGGCAATGACTTGACGCATCACTGGATGACCTTCCTCAGTGAACAAATGTTCCAATTCACGAAATGATAGATTCTAGGGAAAATGAGACTGCTCTGACGTCAAACTCTTGTGAGTCATCGCAACATCGAATCGCCCTTTCGAACAGATCAACGCAGAGGGTGCGTAGTTGACGTGGACTTTCCTTCGCGCAACCTCGTTGCCAGGCAGGAAAAGACGTCACAACAGAGGGGCTTCCGAGAAAATGAACGAAGGCCGTAGCGGATGCAAGCCAGCAGCCCATTCCTCGCTGCACTCGTAAAAGTTTTCAGGACCGGAAGTATATTAATGCCGACACTGTAGTTCGGTTAAACCCAAGGACCAAAAATCGTAGGGACTTCAAAAACATTATTCGACATCTTATGTATCCAAAATATAGTGGAAAATATTACTGTAAATAAATGTTATACTTTCTATACAATTGGTACGCAGAGTCACTAAGAGTAAGAATCATAGTTATCAGAGTAAGAATTACTGTTAAAGGAGAAAATAATCAGTCACTAAAAAATCACAAACTTACACGTAGGAAATTAGTATTTTGTATTTACTTTTTCCAAAACCACCTGCGTTCCACAGTATGCATTTATATTGTACAAAAATGGCGACGATGCAAGCTCAAGCTTTCGAAGGTAGTAAATACATTGGCTGAGATGTTAAATATAGATAGAATTATATGAACGTACTTTCCCCCGCCTAATTTGGTAGTTAATAGTGACTGATTTTCAAGTGTGTTAGTTAGAGTCCCTTTAGAACTGTGAAACTGTACCTCCTTGTTTCGTTTCTGGCTGCAAATCCAAATGCAACAAAACGGCCTCGTATCTAAGTATTTCAATTTTATGAAGAGAAAACTAATGGGATAATTGGTTGAGAAAAACGTATGCATAGTGCCAACTTGTGTCAACTTCCAAAAAACAAAAAAATGTAGTTTTCATTCACATTATGAACGGAAGTTCATGGTTAGGGAGTACATTTTTCCTGTTTTACAAGGACAATCGATCCGTTTGCCTCGTACATACGAGTAAAACGTTTGCCTGGCATACAACATAAAACTCAAGAATAATGTCTATTTCACGATTTTTGCAAACCTTATACGCTACCGTACAGTTAAACTTAATTACATACGAAAATATACCACGAACTTAAAAAGTAATTTTACAAAGAGTCTCGTTTTACAAACAAAGAAACGTTACAAATCGATTTAAGAGATGTAAAAACTATTTCATAGACATTTTAAATCGTTTGTGTCTAATATTAAATTTAAACCTGTACACCATTTTTTGTAAGTGGTGGAAGACGACATTACGATATTCCCATTAAAATAAAGGACCGTGACTTAAGTGAATCCTTCGACATCCATGGTTTTTAAATTAATTAATTTTGCAATTTTTTAGCAGTCCAATGTATTTTAAATTTCAATGAAAAACTCTTCAATCTCGCTCATTTTCGTCGAGAAAGTCTTCCCACGCAACATATTCCATACGGAACGGATATTATTCCACACGGAACACGTGATCGATAGTGGCGCCGTGGCAACCATATATTACATGTTTGTTTTTATCTTGACCAGTGTGAAGGGCCTTTTACTCAGGACAATGACTGTTTCTTATCTTGTCCCTGAATGAGACCCTTCATAACTCTTCCCGCAAATCGATGATTATTTGATCAAGTATTAAAATGATACACAACTGTTATTTTAATTACTCTAATTTTACCGCTGGTTTTCAACAAAATAATTAGTCTTGCTTTGGCACTTATATCACCTGTCACCATTGTATTTACGATAAAGGATTCAATTTATTCCCAATCAACATTATTTCTAAATATCAGTAGCGCTTGTTAGCGATTTTATTTTTACAGCAGTCTCTCGTGTTCTACTTCGAAGAACGTTCATTCTCATCTGAAAATTTACTGTAGCCACTCACAGAGAATGGCAGCACAAATAAAATGCAAAATGAAGGTACGGATGTCGGATGGAAACGTCGGTAGCCATAAACATGCTAGATTCTTAGAGAATGTGCTTATCACCTGCCTTTACGACTTTGACATTTCATCCCAAACGAACCTGCGAAGCTGTTTTCTCTAATTCGAAACGAAGAAACAACTTCACTGTACACATTACACGGCTATGCTTGATGGTCGGGCTATGACCTAAATTTCTGCAGAGGCCAACACAAGCAAAATATATTTCCGCCGCAATAACCGAACCCACACAAAAGCAGTCATAAGCAATCAAAACCAAAACATTTCACGTCGTGTTTATTTAAATTCCCGAGTTCACACCGGGTGTCAAAGACCGACGACAGACGAGACAGAAATCCCCACCACAGTTGTGCGCACGATAACGGTAGTTGCGCGCATGGCCCGTTCGCCGCTCACGCGAGCCACCGTCGTTTTGGGTCCCTCCCCCCCCCACCCCACCCGACACGACACGACACACACAGCACACCCACAACACCAACCAACCAACCTGGGCAGTAGAGGGCGAGTGACAGCACCAACACGGGCCAAGCAGCATCTTGCGCCGGCGGAGCCGGAGACAGAGATCGACCCGAGCGGAACGTGCATCTACGAGCGGCGATTTCCGCAATGGCTGCCAGAGCTGGCTGCCTCGCTGCGAGCTCAGCCTCGGGGCCCGGCCGAGCTGGCGCCGCCAGCCCGCTCGGCGCCCCGCGGCACTCCCCACCGCCCGCTGGTCGCCCCGCTCCGCCCCTCCCTTTCGCACCGCCGGCGCCGGCCAGCCGTCGTCCCCCGGCAAAACCACGCACCGCCGCTGTCTCTGTCGCCGTCCTTGGCTTGCTTGCCCCCCCTCGTCGTTCGCTTTGCACTCGATCAACCGAATGCGATTGAATGCAGCTCAGGATCTCTTACGCGTCCTCACAACTCCCTTCACGTCTCCTCATTGTTGCCGCTTCACCTCCCCTACCTCAAACTTTTCCGCTTGTCCCATTCCATCTTTCTCCCACCCGCAGTACATCACAAGTGATACTCGCCGTCAAGGTTATTTTCTTTCCTCTTCTGAAGCTTCTTGGGCGCTCTTCCATCCTTACCGTTCTCCCCTCTCCGGCCCGCATGCCCCCCCACCACCAACCCACCGCGTCAGGCTATTGTCGTCAGCGGCGCACCGGTGCTGCACGCAGTGTGGGCAAATAGCTCGATAACTCAATGTCGCTGTGCTCCGGGGCACGCTAGGACGTGCGTGTGAAGTCGGGCGCGCGTTCAGGAGACTCATATCCCACTAATGAGGTGCGAAAAGGGTGGGAGCTGACGCAATAAGCGAGATGTGTAATATCGAGGTATTCCAAAACTGATGATATCGATTCTTGTACATTCGACGCGATGTACTTGGTAATCGATATCTTTATTTTTATGCCATACCCGATTCATTGGATACATTTATTCGGTACGTTTTCCTGGATTGGAGGTAGCGTCGAGGAAAATAGTTAATTCCTTCCCCTCGCTCCATTTTATATCACAGCCCTCTATTCTGCTCTACTCCACTTCACTTTTGAGGAGTTTCTTCATTCGCCTGTTACGTATGCAAAGACATTTGTTCCACCCCTTTTACCAGCTTCTCAGTACACTACTCTTCTCAGAACCCATTCTATTTAATCTCGTACTAAAGTTCTATTGATTCCGAAGTCGTAGAATCTGTATCGAAGAAACTAGTGTATTACTGACTTAATAATTTCAACCAATTGTGTGCCAATAATCCAACCGCGTTCTTTTTTTCCCTTCTGGGCCTCTGTATTCGCTCTCTATCATCATGCCACTGGTGAATCATTTTCCACTTTATTAAAATAGTCAAATAAAAATACGTTGACGTAAAAGAATGGAAATTTATTTCATTTCATTATATAATGTAAATATCTTCACGGTTGCTCGAAAATGAAGTAAAATCCATACACGAATTTTCTTGTTTGAAATTAGGTATCGAATTCCATTGATATTAAAAGTAGGTCAACGTGTGGTTCTATAATATCGACATAGGTATCGAAATTACGTTATTTTGTTGCTATCGATGAATATATGTCCTCCCCCAACCATTCCCAATCCAAGTCAAGCGTGAGGCGTGTCAGAGGACAGTGACATACTGACGTACGACATACATCTTCCGCCCATCTCTGTTTACCGGTTTCGGGATACTCGTAGAGGCTGCCTGATTGTGACGGTGTCAAACACACTTACATAGAATGTGAGGAGGGTACGGGGAATGGGAGATTGTACTCGTGACCGGTTCTCAGAGAAAGAAAAAACACTCTCCTCTACTGAGTTTCAAAGATTAATTTTATAGTTATTAAATGTTACAATTGGAAGAACTTAATGATTGCCACCTGTCGTACAGTACGTTAATATGCGTCAATTGAATTTGATTAATTTTATATTTTCACTTCTCCCGTAGTCCTTTAGACTCACTGTATTTCCTTGATGCATCCAAAATTATTAAAATGTTGTTATATTTTGGCTATAAAAATATTGCGTACCGTCAAGCCTAAAGTTCCTTTTGATCACCTAAACATTGACTAATTTTTGTAAAGGAAAATGACAAATAAATATTTCGCAATTAAAATTTTAAAATGTCTTTAAATTCGTTTGCAGATACATTATTTGTATTTGCTCGTTCTGTATTTATTTATAAGTTTCCTTCTTAGGCTTGAAATACCAACTTTGTTGAGGACGCTTCATTCTCCTCCGACCACCTTGCATTATATCTTTATTCGTTCTCTTCAGTGTAGTAGTATCTTCGTACTTCCTGAATACCGAAGGATGCCAACATTGCCAAAAGTTCCGAGTGCCGGCAAGCCAAGGCTACTAGGTACTGCGAGTCTTCTCAGTTCACCAGAACCGCCTATTAAATATTCTCAAAACAACACAATCGCTGCATTTTAAACAATACAGAAAACACTACATACTAGCAAGAATTCAAATTTCGGATAACGGCCTGCAAACGCAGCGCGAATGAGTTGACATTGAGTATAATATTTATAATATATGTTTGACATTTTCGACAATGAAAATGCAATTAACAAATGCTAATACATATCGTTCATGTATTTTTGTATTAAAATACATGTTCCTCGGCGATCGAAGTAAGGGTAGACTTTACATAACGTTCGGATGAATTCGATATTACTACTTTATTTAATTGTATCATCCGAACAATCTATCATCTGACGGCCTGAAAGTTGTGCCTTAAGGTTACGGTCGTTAAACTTCCTTATGAGTATTAATCAAATATAAAAGAGTAATCAACTCTACCAGCCGAGGGTTAGATTACAAACATCAAGTATTACTCATGATGGTGATGAAGGAAAACGACACACCTCGAAACTCGTTATTTGTTATTTATATGAAGATATGTATTTAGATAATAGAATACTTTTAAAAGTAAAAATCTTGCAATAATAGTTCACATGATAGCCTACATATGGAGTAAAACACTGTCTTTGGTCACGAATTAAACGACTCAATCGGTATAAAACTGTCCTCCGCAAAAGGACACATTTTAATATGCCACATATTATGTGCGCCGACAACTTTTTTCGTAATTCTGAGGAATTTCAGATTCCTTCGAAATATGTTTAAAGGGAGCATCCACAAGCATCTTAATTTATTATTTATAGTCTGTTTTTTTCTGAAAACTAATTCATATCAAAGGTCTCGAAAACCCTCTACTCTGAAAGAATTGTTTTACAGACGTTCCACCAACTTCGGACATCCCATCTTCTAAAGGGGTCACGTTATTTAAATGGAGACATGATATAACAATCTCATCATCACGGGGAGAAATATTCTACTTTAATTGAGAGTTTTTTTTTGTTTTGCAGAAATTAAATCGAGTTGAGTTAAATAAGAAATGGATTTAGTTTTTCGCTTGTATTTAATACATCTAAAAAATATGAATTCAACTTCGTACTCGATCTTCTGGAAAAGAGATATATTTAAAAAATGTCATTTTGCAGGAGAACGATTAAATCCCGAACTGATGCGTCTATTTCCAAGGAAAATAAAAAAAAATACACTACAGACAGCAAACTATTTTGTTGAGCTTTTTACTATTAAAAATTCTTTTCTAAACATCAAATAAAAAAATTACTATTCGTATTGTATGGTTATTAAGACGAATTCGCACTCTGCGGGCGTAAGGCGCAGATCCAGAATATTAATCAAGTGTTCCGCGTCGTCAGGGATGCAGCCTTGGCACGGATTTTTTGGACCGTCCTCCCAAGTGGGCTGCATTGTCTCCCGCACAACTACAAACACCAATGTCGGAATACTCTCAAGGCAGTGTTGCCAGGCGAATTGACAAGACGCGCATTATATCTAAACGTTGTGTGAAACGTCTAATAAGTAGGTTAAATTTCCTTACATTTCAATGGTTGTTTTGTGTGTACTCGTATGCTGATTTCTTATTTTCATAAAGTGGGTCTGTTAATTAAAATCTGCTGATATGTCATCACATGTGTTTATTACAATAATAGCTATCATATTTATTACTACTATTACTATAACGATAATAATAATAATAATAATAATAATAATAATAATAATAATAATAATAATAATAATAATAACAGTAATAATTTTTTTTCTTCCAGCAATTTTTGATTGTATTCCATAATGTTCACGCCTATACCTGCGTCAATTTTTCAAGGTTTAATAATTGGGGAGGGGAAGTCGTTTCGAAAGCGCATCATTTCCCTGGGTGTTCGGCTGGTTCGTTGTTGACACACCTACAGTGCGCCAGAAAAGTCTCCGTACCGACCCGAGTCCCAGCCTGCCATCGCCTCCGCTTCCGCCCGCAACTTCGTCGCCGCGGGCGGCGCTAGTGTATGCACGCCATCACCTCGACCCTTCCTTCCCTGCTGCTGCACCCCGTTCGGAAGGTCCCAACGCCGCCAGGTTCTTGTAATACAAATATACGATCACTCAAAAAAAACACGGATACCTACGATTTTACCACATTTTCTTTAATTTAGAAGAAAATATTAAACTTGTAATTTTGGTTGTGAGTAATTAAAGACGCACATTTCATACGTTAGAACAACATGCAAGTTTAATTTTCACATTAAAAGTTATTAAATTACAAGAAGTTTGAAGAATACCTAATTCTTTGGCACGTCAAAAAATATTCGGACACATAATATAAACAAATTAATAAAATTAAATAAAACAAAAAAATAAGTACATCAATAACTTGTAGGGAGTCCTTACATTTTCAAAACATCATTCAACCTTTTTGGAATTTTTTGCAATTTTAGGGCAGCTCTTGCCTTTTGCATTATGAAAGATAATTGTCGCAGTTTTAAAGAGCTGTCCTTTCCTTTTCGAGGCTGTCTTTCAATGTTCAAGGACACTAATAGACTGATTTTTGACAGCACGTCGATTGACAGATATAACCGTCCTTGAGTCAACCGTGGGAAAAGTTATTAAATCTGCTTTCGCCCAATAGTTCGTTGACAAAAATAATACATATACGTCTGCCCGAATATTTATTTGATGTGCAATTTCCGTTATTGGAAGATCTAATGCAAATTCATCACTGATGTAAAAACAGAAAAAAACGCATGTTTGTAGTGTACGAGTATTTAAAGCTAAAAAAATATTAAAATTATTACTGGTATAATATTTTATTGTTTTAACAGGCTCAGAGCGTGTTCAACGTGAGTAAGCTGAGTACAGTCCGAATATTTTTTGAGTGAGTGTAATTTCTGATGCTAACACTCTCACCAGCAAGAGGCTTTCCTGGCACTGACACTGGGCTTTCCCGGCGCTCTATACAATACTGGTAGTACACAAAATCACATTAATTTTGTTACTTACAACGGGTTTCAATCCACGAAATTTACGATTCTCCCGCCTCAGTGATCTTGATCCATGTTTATTTCCTTTCAGAGGGTACGTTTCGAGTACCTTAGGGGTTTTCACCAGAGAAGGCGAAATGGAAAACATTTATTTTCCCTTGAACTCTTTTTGTCGACACTTGTACGGCCGCAACCACATAAACCTGAAAAGCCAATTTAAAAGATCGCTACATCAACAGTACTGCCAACTTGAAAAAATTCCTTTTCCCCGCACTTTGCTCATTCTTTTCATATATTCAAGATACGCATACCACTTTTCGTTAACACTGTACTAATTTATAATTAAATAAGTTTTTCGCACACTTCCTCCTTTTCCACCTTGAACTCTTTCCACCTTGAACAGAAGTGATATTCAGCGGACAGATAGACGTTTCAACCAAGTGGACTGTAGGGTCAGTTGTGCATATGTGAGCGTGATAACAATTATTTTACACACTGAAACATTAATAATAATTTAAAAAAACAAAATGTTCGGTAAACTTGTCTCTTGTTATTTTAATTTAAAATACCTCATAATTTTAATGATATAAATGAGTTTACATAAACACTGCTCGGATCAACATGTTCGCATTTTAATACATGCTTAATTTTATAACGCACAATATTTTTGAAATTTATTGCACGATTCATTCAGCTCAGTTTTTAATTAACTCCATTTTGTATCGTTTTTATTCATTCCCTCTACTCAAGAACGAATACTTTTCGGTCTTTATGTATACATAATGCATATTTTTTCCCCATTGACAATACTCCACAGTCCATACTTGTTGGGCCGAAGTAATGTACTTGCATCGTCTTCAATTAGAATGGGTTTTAGTTTCAGCAGGTGGTGCATAGGTCCCTTCGATGAATGAGGTCTTCCAGACAGTTTGTGAATAGGCCTGTATCAGAAAATTCTATGGAGTGCACATATTGTTGACCATATTATAATTATAATTTATGAGATGTATATGCTTTAAGGATAATAATGTTGTGAAAGTATGAAATATACAATAACATATTTGTTAATTTTAATTTTTTTCTAATAATTAATTTTAAGTTATTTCGAATCTACTCCCCTATTGGAGTGTACGTTGGATTATTGTCACTAACTCACGTGCGGACTTCTAAGAATGAGACAAAGATAAATGATTCACTCGTACACGTAAAAAAAGGAACTCAAATCCATATCCAGAGCAGGATTGAAAAAATTGATAAGTTCGAGCAGATTGACCATTCAGGCCAGACATTACAAAGAAGGCAATGAATCAGTAGAATTGCGGATTCTGTTGAAGATGTCCGTATAATCGTGTTCGTCTTGCATAAGTTGTATATATTTTTAATTGCTTCGAAACATTGTGGATGTCTATGATAGTGTTCAATTTCGTAAGCAGATTTCTGTGCGACATAAAGTACTAACAGTTCTACCAATATAGACTTCGCTTTAAACTTCATTTAATTACACTAGCTAAAAGAAAACAACAGCTTATTATTATAGCCCACGATCATCAAAGTAAAGAGCACAATAACGAAACTGGTATTGTATTTCTTTAAAAGTTTCCTCGTTCGTTACAAACCGAATAGGTGACGTACAAATGCAAATATTGCTCTATTTGTTTCATTTTACTCGTAATTTAAGATCGCTTTAACTACCATTATTTTCACGCAAAAAGTATTAGGTTTTATTGACAATCGAAATAAAATAAATTAATAGATGATGTTACACTGCAGCAGATCTCTGACAGCAAAGCAGACGATATAGAAAGCGACTCAAGATGTCGTCAAAGTCGGCATTGTAAAATTAAAAGGATTTGATGACTTGCCGATTAGAGGAATTCGCCAAACGCAACCTACAACACGTTTTCGCGTTCCTTAATTATCAATTCCTTACTTCTTTTCACAAACTTCTAGTTACAAACGTTGTTCTCTTACCGTTAAACCAGCTTTTGAATATTCGTTTCTGAAGAATCTTTAGTATAAACGCTTTAATCTTCTTCTCATACAAAAATATACTATGTGAATTATGAAAGTAATCTCAACGTGGAGGAGCGCAAACGTTTTGTAAATATCTTCTTTTTATGTTCCGCACTTACTTCTGGGAAGCTGCAATCCTGTTCCCTGCAAGGTTACGTGTTGCAGACAAGTCACAAGGTCATATGCTGCAGATGTTATATGTAAATTTCACGAGCGTCCGAGGTAACACAGCTTTTCAACGAGACAGACGATTCTCAAGAAACCTCATCAAGGATGTCCAAAAAGCATTAGAGACAAAAATAGTAGCTTTCTAGCTCTTAGAGTTCTAGACGAAGTATTTTTGAAATAAAAAAAAACGTATTTAATGCGTATTAATGAAGCAAGTAAAAGTATGCCAATTCGTGGGAGTATGCGTTTTATTTGTACTAATATCAAGGAATAATGAGTTGCATAGCTTTACAGTCGTTGCAAGTTAATAGGATCAGAAGATAGAAGTATTCCGGAGCGAACAGTACACTTCAGAATATTTTGAAGGGAAATAGTTGTGCATACTTTTAGATGCAATATACGTTAAACGCATTTCGGTGAACCAATTTAATGTTATATATTAAATTAGAAGCCCATTATTTCGAATTTAAAAAAAGGCAAGGAAGAAGAAAAAAACTACTGAATATTTAGGTTTATCAAAGTTTCAGGTATTTACTTGAAAAATTACTTGTGTGTGTAAAAATAATGTAAGATCTGTAATGTGTTTGAAAATAGAATGTAAAGAAGTGTAAAAGTAATCTTTTAGATCTCGATGGTACAAAAAATTTGTTACGAATAGTACTATACGTCATATTTTGTGGTTATATCTTTTATATCCTTCCTATTTTTAACCATATAGCTTATTCTATTCGTTGTATTATTCTATTCTGTTCTTTGCCTATTTTTCAGAGTTTTCTTTTATTTTTTCTCTTATTCTCCAGTGCTGAGGAGCAGGGTCCATGGGACCGATGGCCATGGCGATGAGCGGGGGAACTCGGGGCGGAGGGCGGATTAACGCATTATGCCATTGCCCCAGCTTCTGTTCTTTGAGCTAAGCCGATTTCTCGCACGAAACTGTATACATCTCTTCGCCAATGCAGAGAAAGAGAGGTGCCTAACAAGGGGGGGGGGTCGCATGCGTGTTCCATTATACGAGATTCTTTGGCTAAAAGTGATTATGTTTGGCATCCCTAAATGCCTTGGATGCCTGTAATATTTACTCTGAGACATTTTGTGCATATATTCAGAATAACTGATATTCGTATATCGTTGCCGTGAAGCGCCTTCGAGGAAACCGGAGACGTGTGCTCTGTACCACGACGTGGCGGGCGGGTCCGCCAGCGAAGCCTGAGTATCGGAAGGCGACCAGAGTACGGTTGGGGTGGGTTGGGTGCGAGCGCAGCCGAGTGGGCCAGGATGGGAGGAGCAGGGGGCATGCGCGAGCGGCGGC